GGGTGTCACCACACCCAGCTTGCAGGGACAACTTTAAACCATACCCAGCTTGTACTGGCGGTTTTAAACCAGAATCCCCAGCAATCACAACCAGTAGTTCTTGGAATGTAAAGCCAACTAACCTAATTATTTTAAAAGACCAGAACAGAGCTAAGGGCGCACGGATCTAAGGAGAGGAGGGGATGGCTATGAAAATAAGCTACAACATTTAAAACTTTTCTTTTAAAGGTACCGTAGTTTTGCATTGCAAAGTACAACTTCTCCATTACCAAGCTAGGAGGGGCAGGCATCCACAGGAAACTCCCTATCTTTTAAAGGCCCGGTGAGAAACTGCACATTCAGGCAGCAGATAGCATCCATCAAGCAAAAGGCTTCTGGGCAAAAACACAGGCGCCTGTTTGCTGCCCTCCTCTGTGATCCAGGAGATGGAGAAGAGATACACCCCAGCACCCAAGAAAGCCCTAAGGAGTCCACGGCCAGCCTATGAGCAGACAGGCACCAACCCTCCTCCACAGCGCTGGTCCCCTTACCTGTGTGAGTTCGAAGGTGTGCCTTGAGATGAGAACTCTTCGTATAGGTCTTGCCACAGCCTGCGTAGTCACAAGTGTGGGTGGCCGTTCTTTTCCGGGGCCACGACCTTCTTCCCCTCTTTGGCTTGGGCTCCTCTGGCAGGCAGGAACCCGGTGGCATGAGCTCTAGGGGTAAAGAAAGTGGAGGGGGGGGGAGGTCAACTTCATTCTCAAGACTCTCTTGGGAACCTCCCAGGAGCCAAATTCCCCAGCAGAGGAGGCTCTACCAATCCCTTCCCCCCCACTGACCTTGGTAATGGAGAGACGAGACTTGAGTCTGCATCTGGTCTGGCAGGAAAGGAGGGTAGTTGGGCCCCGGATGGGGATGGAATCCTGGCGGGAGAGGCAGGCCAGGGTGACAGTCCCTGCTGTTCAGCAGTTCCTCGGGACTCATGGTAGGGGTAGTCCTGGTGGGGAGCTGCCGCCCCAGGGGGAAGTCGTGTGTGCTGGGCCGGTGCCCGTTGCTGAGCTGGGGTCCAGCGCCCAAGTGGGTCTCTAGGGACCGGCCGACTGTGCAGGAGGAGACGGACTCTTGCTTAATCTTGGGGCACATGCGCGGCGGGCCACCACTGTAGGGCGCCACCACCACAGGGTGGCTGCCGTCCGGGCTGCCTTTGCTAACACTGATGACCGTCGGGCTGCTGTACTCGCTGCCAGGGGTGCTCAGCGACGCCTTCAGCACAAACTTGCCCATCAGCCCGCCACCTGGCGGCTGAGGTTGCTGTGGCGGAATGTACACAGGGTCCAACTCGGGCCGCAGGAGCTCGGCCACGAAGCCGCCCGAAGGGCTCACGTCATTGATGTCCGCCAGGTTGAAGGGGGCCGTGGGAGGTGGCGCAGACTCTCGGGGGTAGAGGAGCCCTCCGCCTGTGTTGCCGGCAGCCACGCCCGGGTCACCTCCGGCCCGGATCGGGTAGCTGAAGCTGCAGGTGGAGGGCGCGCTGGCAGGGCCGCTGCTCGCCGGGGAGGACGAGGATGAAGCTGAGGCAGAGGAGGTCACAGTGGCGGCTACAGATTCCTGGTGGGATAACGAGTTGGAGAGGATAAAGTCTAGGTCCAGGAGATCGTTGAACTCCTCGGTCTCCCTCCGGGGTAGGAGGGCCGGGTTGTTACTGCTGCAAGCTGCGCCAGCTCCACCACTCTCCAGGTCTGTGGCCACCGTCGCCGCCAGGTCGTAGGGGCGGCCGGGAAGTGGGGGATGTCGCTTCATGTGAGAGAGCTCCTCTCGCCAGCGCTGCCAAGGGCGGAGGGAGAGAGACGCGGTTAGTTGTAGCCCCCTGTTGCCACCTCTGCTATTCACTTGGTGGGTGAAGCACACCAGCACCCATGCCATAGGAACTGAACAGGACAGGAAAGCAGCTCCAGGGACTCCAGGTGCCGGGGTTGGCAATCTCAACCAACACCCGGGTAAGAGGCGGCACGTCGGTTCCACCTCAAACTAGTGCCGCACCTCCGCCAGCCGAATTCTCTTCCCCGCCAGATCCCCGAGACGCTCCAGCCGCCCACAGGATTGGGACACTAGGACACTGTGGCTTTCTCCGTATGCACCATAGCCACCCGGCCGCCTACGCGCTAAGCTCACTCGGGCCAGAGGGTCTCGAGAATTGGTCACCCATGGCCCGCGTGCGCCCACCCCACGGCCCGGACGCCCGGAGACCAGCGAGGAACCGCTGTGCGCCCCTGGCGGTACCGCAGTGCCGGGACCACACGCACTTCAGGCCAACTCAAGGGCCGAGGAGCCACCCCTGGGAAGGCTGTGGAGTCCCAATGGAGGGCAATCCCTGTCCTAGGCAGGGGCTCTTTGTGACCCCTGGATTCCGCCCATCCACCCCATCCCGCCCGCAGAAATCTACCGGGCACTAGCGCGACACTCACGTTATTCGGGGCACCTGCTGGACGCAGTGTCTTCTCCCTTCCCGCCGGGCCAGACGCGAACGTGGAGAAGGACGGGAGCAGAGCGTCGCTGACAGCCATGTCAGACTCGCCAGGTGGCTGCCTGCGGGCCGGGCGGGGCGCACAGGGACCGGGAGTCAGGGGCCACCCTGGCCACCGCTCCGAGGTTTCCCACCAGTCCTCACCCCCTTCTGTTCCCCAAAGCCCAGCATCTCACCTACCTCATTAATGTGGGGGCCCAGAAGGTCCTCCGGAGTCCGAAGAAGAGAGAGGGGTAACCAGAACCCCAAAGTCAACGAAGATTAAAAACAACTTTAGAAACGAAACCCCAAACCAAAACCCTCGAATTGCCCGAGATCCTTCTTCTTTGGATTCAATATAAACCGGAGATGTCTTTTTAAAAAAGTTCCTTTGTATACAAAAATGCTTAGAAAAGTTGTAAACTCTTATAAAAATAGACAATCAGCAAGGCAAATAAGTAGGTCCGATGGCCGGGCTGCACGCTCTTGGGACTCAGCAGTGTCCCCCACCGTTGTCGCGGCCACTGTGGCTGTCGGCGGCTCAGGGTCTGTGGTCCGGGCGGTGGGCGGGCGGCGCCGCCAGGTGAGAATGGCCGCGGTGGCGCGGAACTGCGAGCTGGGCGGTGGCGCGGGGTGCGGAGTCCTGG